TAAAAAATTTGATTTTCTAAATAAAACTCTTACCAAATATTGGAACAAACGAAGCAACAAAAAAACAAATAGCTGAACCAAATACTGTACTCATAAAAATAGTTAAAAAATAAATAAAAAAACGATCGATTGATATTTGAAAACCTGACATAAAATATGTTATAATAGAATATATAATTGAAGGTACAAGACGCATTGGTAATAAATCACAAATTAATTTTGCAATAAAAAAAGTTGATACTCGATAATAACCACTCACATTTTCCTTTAAGAAAAAATAGATAAATCAAATTTTCGTTTAGTAAAGATTTTTACATGAATAAAAAGTGCACGTTCTTGAAGTAATGGTTCAAGTGCAGTTGTTGTACTATAAATTTGATTCACAATAATAAAAAATATAGCTCCTAAACGATTTTGTACACCTTTTTCAACTGTTGCTTGAATTTGATTAAAAACTAAACCTGTTAATAAAGCTAATAATGTCGCAACAATAATTTGTGATGCAGCCATAGCTGGATCACGTATTGTATTTTGAAATGTTCGAATACAAACATAATATAATTCATCAGTTCGTGATCGAGATACTATTTCATGAAATATATTATCATCATTTGATATTAAACTTTCATTATTTGAATACAATAATGATTGTAAATATGAACTTTGAAGTACAGTGGATGAACGATTATTACATTGAATAATTACATCAAGAGCAAAATCAGCTGGATTATCATGATCTTCACATTTAAAACCATGAGATGCAAAATATGATAAAATATCATTTGATGGACCTAAGTAAATTGTATGACCAGCTGAAAGAAGAAGAACAGTATCAAATAATTTGAATATTGAATAACGTGGTTGATGAATTGAAAAAATAATTGTGCCTATCAAAAGAAAAAAGTTAATATTTCATTTTGAATATTTTCTTTTTAAAAAACTAACATCCTTCTCTTGATAATTTGTGTAAACATTTCATTACAGTTTCTGCTGTTGATGCATCAAGTCCTATTAAAAATTATCATATGAATATAAATACTTTTTTTTTTGTTACCACTCGTTGGTTCGTCTAGAAAAAGTATATTTGGAGAAAGAACTAATTCCATTCCAATGCATACTCTTCGTTTTTCTCCTCCAGATACTCCTCGTATAAAATTTGTACCAATTCGAGTATCAGCACATCTTTCAAGACCTAAATCTTGAATAATTTTATTAACTATTGTAATACGTTCATTTAATGTTTTTGAACGTTGTAAACGAACATTAGCTGCAAACATCAAGTTTTCGCGAACACTTAATGTTCCACTGATTATATCTTCGAATAAAATAAAAATAGTAACAAATAAATCAAAATTATTTTTCTACCTTCTTGAACAACATAACCAATTGAATATTTAAATGTTTCAGATCGAGGTTTACCTGAGACAAGAATACGTCCTGATAAACCTTTCTTATCTTTCCGATCAGCAAGAATATCTAATAGAGAAGATTTACCACATCCAGATGGTCCTGTGCAATATAAAATAGATTGACCAAAATAATTCCACAAATATATATATTTATTTATTTACCTAAAATAGCATTCATACCAGGTGAAAATCCACCAGAAACATTCCTGAGAATTTGTTTTTTTGATTGACCAATAAAATAATTAATTTCATGAAATGATATTGATATTAATTGAGAATTAATTGTTGATATATGAGATTGAAAATTATTGAATAATGGAATAGGAGTTAATTCTGGTGGTATTGAATCGACAAATCCAATATTATCATGAACAGATCCTACTTGTCGAAGTAACGATAAAACGATATTTTCTTTTTCTTCATCAGCTAATGGATGTGTTTTCATTTCTTGAAAATGTCTCGCTTATCATAAAAACATAAAGATGTCGGCGTTTTATATAGAAAAAAAAATTGTTACACATGGCAACTACTTAGTATGAACGACATTCTTTTTTTTCTAATTCTGTTCTTTCTTCTTCTCGGATGATAACATGGTATATGTGTTAAACTAAATACTATTTTTACACAATTTTTCTCGTCTGTAATATTTTTCTTAATTGAACTACATCAATCCATCATTAAATATATGCTTTTTTTTCTTTTTAATTTAAAAACTAAACATATGTTGATTTCAACAGAAAATTAACAATATATCTGTACTAAAAAACAAAGAAGTGATATTTACATATTCTACTGCCGATTAAATGATTATCTGGCTTTTGTATAACTAATTACTAAAATAAATTTTTATCTTGAAATACTATTATCAAAACTAAAGCTAAATGCTGGCAGTTTAAAATGACATCATAATAATTCAAAAAAAAAGATTTTAATTACTTATTCTATTATAAAAGAACAGTACTTCTTGTCATTTTCTTTAGAATAAAGTTGTCGGTTCATAATGATGGTCTTTGATTCAATTTTTCTATTTATAAATTTATATCTCGTACTCTTTTTTTTACAGAATTAATTAAAATAATATATAAAATTTGCTTTATCAACTTTATTGATATAGTAAACGAAATTTTTGAGAATGAAAATATACACTAGTCGACGATCTTGCTTCTCGTCTTTTCAGATTCTTGATTTCTTTTTTTTCTTGCAACTAACATGTTTATTTAAAAACCAATAAATAATAAAAATAATGAATTTACATAAAAATAATGAAAGAAAAATATTAAAACTATTTTATTTACATGAAAGTTACAGCAGGAGAAAAATAATTAAAATATTTTATTTATATTAAAAGTTCATATCTATTACTGAAGTTCGTCTGCTTCATATTTTTTAGAAGACATCGAAACTAATGTGATTATAATACCATCGATAGATATTAGACAGATTCTCAGAATCTACTATTAAAATACCTAGTTGATTGCATAAAAAAATAATATAAATAATGTTAATATTCTTATGTACTCTCATTATGATTACAATGATTGTATAGAAATATTTATTTTTAATAGGCTCGTCTTTTATTAAATATAATATTACAAAAAAAAATTAATAATAGAAGAACAAATTCAAATATAGATATGTACTAGTTATGTTATTTTAAACTCGTTCATACATAGTCACATAACTTTAACCAAGTTTAGCACGGAATTCAGCCATAGAAAAATTAGGATCGATCTTGCGACCTTTTGGTACTGCTGCTTCCTTATGTCCCAATACTCGAGCAGTAGGTACACCGTAAGCTTTTTGAAGAGCTTTAACTCCTTTTACATAACTCTGGTATTGAACTTCGGGCCAGTGTGCATGTCCAGTTTCAGTAGCCGGTAAACCAACTCCTTCGGCTTCGATACCAATTGCATTATTATTTCCATAGATAGAGTCATCGAGGGTATTGCCAGCGTGATAGGCACGCCCCGCTGCAATGATAAACCAAGTTCCTGACCGACCGAGTCCAAGTTGTGCGATTGGGCCAGCAATACTAGAAGTACCATCACGAATTGCTGCCAAAGAAGGATAGTCACCGGTTGCTGCGCCTGCCGTATGATGACAAATAATTCCTTTAACAGAGCTCATTACACCATGACCACGAGTTTTCCAACCGGCAACTTCGACTACATTAACTCCCGCACCACGAAGAATATCGGCTAAACCCGTGAGCATCGTATTGACGGGTTTACTGGGACTAGGACCAGTCGGAGCGGATCCTGCTGTACAGCATTGAATATGGTTGCCACCAGGACAGAGATTAGCCGGATCAGAACTTCCTTTACAAGTTGAAGTGGGTTGACATGTGCCTGCAACACCTTTGGTATTTTTACATGTACCATATGTGCAACATTGAATCGTATTGTCACCAGGACAAAGATTAGCCGGATCAGAAACTCCACCACTACTTGAACATGATTTAGTGCTAATACATTCTCCATTACGACCATTTTTGGCTGTGCACATTCCATATTGTTGAGCAAGAGTAGATAAAGGCAGAATTACTGCCACTACGAAGTGCATAATAGCCCACATTGAAAGATTCTTTAAATATGATGATTGTATTGTCTATCGCTTCTTTCTCTCGATTCTATGAATCTAGTTTATAATTCACATTGATGCTGTAGCTATATATATACCTATCCTATTCTGAGTTATTATTAGCACAAAAACAACAAAATTAATTGATTTTGTCTTTTTTTCAAGGTTAATCTTTTTGAAAAACGAATGGAAATCCTCTTGCACTTTTAAGTATTTTTTAATGAAATAAGAGCTTAAACTATTTTTCTTTATTATCAGTTCGGTAAGACATTTACGCAAGATCAAAATGTAGATCGTAGTTAGATTGATATATCAACATATTGTATGTTGTCAAATAAAATGAGAACTAACAATGTTTCATCAAACGACATTTTTATATGATTATCTTTGTAATCTAGATGAAAAGAAAATATTGTTGCTATACAATGTTTAATTGATCAAATACTATATTTAGATTTGATATTCAATGACAAAACAAATTAATTTCTTTTTTTAAGTCTGGAAATTATTCACATAAGAGAAAAAAGTAAGCACACAAGAAGAAAACAAGGCACGATTACTACTAGAGAAGCACATTTTGTTGTTGAACTTGATAATGATAATGTTGTTGAGAAGGTAGATGTGAAGATGAAGTTAGTTTTTTCTTTTCTTTTGCGTATCGTTCATCAACATATAAAAGTTCAGCTGAATCATCACTCCATCCATCATCACTTTCATAATTCGATAGAATTTCATCTTTATCTTTTGATATTGTGACTTTTGGTGGCGGCGGTGGTGGTGAATAATATTTTTTAATTGGAGAATGATGTACAGATGATGATGAAGAAATGTCACGTTCAGGTAATGTATAAATATCCACTACATTAGATTTTTGTTTCGATTGTGAAAGATTATTATCAAATATATTATTATCATTAACTTCCGAATCAGGTGTAAAAGTAAATGGATATGTATGTTCAATAAGTGAAGAAACTTGTGAACTAATAAAAATATAAAAGAATTATTTATTTTTTATAGTAAATTGGTTTAAATAATATATACTTATTCGATGGAATAATATGTTTTTCATTATGTGATTGTTCTTGATCATTCGTCATTAATCGATAAGTACGAGAAGGTGTACGAGAATTATTTTCAATTAATTCATCTTGTGATGATGATTCCGATTCCGATTCATATATATTTAATTTATTAAAATTTTGTAATTTTTGTTGTTCATTTTGATGTTCTGATATGACTGACCATGATGTTGGTGATCTTGATTGAAAATTATTTACAGAATTTTTATCATAAATCTGTTGTTTCGATTGTATTGATTCTGTTTTTGACATATCACTCAATCGACTTATTTCTCTTTCTCGATGAAATGTATAAGTATTTATTGGTTGGATTTGATTCGGTTTGGATTTATGTTTAGAATTATGCCATTGATTAGATTCAATTTGTGTAAGAAGAATTGGATTACGAATTGGTAAAGGTTCAAATGATTGAAAATGAATTTTTGCTGGACGAGATTGTACATCAATAGATGTATATTTTGGTATATTATCGGATCCATATTGATTATTAATTTCACTTGTTCGACTAAATAATTAAAATATAAACGATATTAAAAAAAAATAAGAAAACTAATTTATTCTATACATGAATTTTTTATTTTTGGTAATAACTTCTGTTGATTTTGATTCATGAATTTGTTGATTTTTATGATGAGTATCAAGAACATAACCCGGATGTCTTTGCGGTCGTCGATTATTAGTTTTACTATCTTGTGATTTAGTTGTTGTAGTATTTGATTTACCAGATCCTTGTCTTTCTTTTATTATATTTCGATTTCGATTATTATAATATCCTCCAGTATTATTACTTAATTCATAGCGATGACGTGAAGTATTTTCTGTTTGTTGTTGTTCACCAATATTTTCATTTTTGAAAGTTTTCTTCTTAATAAAATATTTTTGCGTAATTATTTGTTCATTCTGATTTGTTGAAATTTTTTCTTCAATATCTATTTATTGAAAAAATAAAAATAATTTATTACAATGGGTACATTTGATAGTTTAATTAAATATTTACCTTTAATTCTTCTTTGTACTTTTTGATGATTTTCTAATTCTTCTTTTTGTTTTAAACGTTGTTTTTCTGCTTGTTCTTTAAAGTTTTCAATTTTGATTTGTACCTTTTGTTTTCTTTTTTCTTCTTCTATATTCGAAAGGGTTTCTTCATTGTATAACGCGCGTGACGTTTGTTTGGCTTGTCGAGATGGTGACAATTGTTGAGTTGAATCTTAATTATATACAAATATCTTTACAAAATTATGAAAGAAAAGAATTAATTTATTTTTATGTAAATCTATAATATTACATATATAACCCTGAAGGTAGACACTAAAATGATGATGAGAGTAGTTTTTTAATATTCATTTCATTTCATTTCTTTTTTTTTAATAAAATAAATTATTTCTATATATATTGAATAATTGAAGGTTGTCTCTTACTCGTAGTTGGCTGTTGTTGCACTTGATGTCTTAAAAGAAGATTATTAATTTTTGATGGTGAAGCATCGAATGGTATCAATTGTTGAATGACACCTCTATGTGAAGGTATGGTTGGATGTTGTCTTTCGACGACTGATCGATTAACAAGAGTTTTCATTTGTTCCTGATTTGAATAGATACCTAATGATGATGTTGCTTTTGATTTAATTTGTTGTTGTTGCTGTTGACTTGGTGGCTGAGTTGAACGTGGTGTTGTTTGATTACTAGAACTACTTGTTCCTCGAGCTATTGCATTTATTTGTTCATCATAAATACCAAGACGTGATGATGTCAATGGTGCTGATGGTTCAATAATAATATTTAATTTTGTTTTTTTT